TCTTAGGATACAGTGTAAGCACTAATGGGGTTGTGTCCATGCTTCATCTCCAACTCTATCCCCCAGCGCTTCCAGATCTCCAGACCCACTAGCTCCCTGGCTATTCCTACAATAAACAAAGCACTCCCAGACCTCAAGAAATTCTCATGTGCTGCTGCTTCTACCTGGAACACCCTTCTCCTACTCTTATACATCCTTAGGCTCAATTTTAAATGTCACCTCCTCAGGGAAGCCTTCCCCGATTTCCCCCATACTGAGTCACCAACCCTATTATAAGCCCTCACAGCACCTCCTTTCTTTTCCTCATAGTTTTTCCCCGCACAATGTATCATGTGTATTTATTAGTGTGATTATTAGTGTGATTTAATATCCACATCTTTTCCCTCTTAAGTGCAAGCACTGAGATCAGGGGTCACATCTAATCAGTTCAACATTATATCCCCAGTGGGGCACCTTAAAAAGTACCTGACACACAGTAGGTGCTCAATAAAGGTGTCTTGAGTGGGTACAGCAGGGTTTGTCATCCTTGGCCCTGTTGACATTTGAGGCTGTCTCATTCTTTCTGGTGCACTGTTCTCTGTGCTGTAGGAGCTGAGCAACACCCCTGACCTTCGCCCACTAGATAGTGCAGCACATTTTCCCCTCCTGCAGTTGTAACAACCAAGAATGTCTCCAGAAACTTCCAGGTGTCCTCTGAGAGGTGGGGGAGGCACTGGTGACAGCCTCTGGAGTACAGGAATGAGGGGAGGACTGGCTGATGCAGCCCAAGCTACAGCAGCGATGCCCCTTTTGGCGGCCTTTAGCACTTGGTCCATATCTTGGTGAGAGTCCTGATGTCTCTCTGTGTCATTCTCCCCAGCACCATGGAAACTCTGATTTCAAAGACAGGGAATAGCAACAAGCCCATCTCTGTACTCCCAAAACTAGCACAGGATTTGAGACACAGAGGCCATAGATAGCTATTAAATAGATCTTTAAAAGCTGGCATTTATTGAGTGCTTAGTGCATGCCAGTCACTGTCTGTTGCCCTACATAGATGACATTACGCAATTCTTGGAACTATCCTAAGAACTGGCGACATTACTGTTACACCCATTTTAATGATGGGAAACTGAGGCTATGAGATGGGGTGTGATTTAACAAAAGCATTTTGCTTCATCACTTAATCACTGCACAGCTCTATCTGCAATTTAGAGCATCTCTCTTTATCTCTTGAGAGAGCAAAGTGTCACCTGTCTCCTTTCCCATCCACTGTTGCCATGGTGATCAGTCATGGGGACCACTCATGGAGGCTAGGAGCCATAGAGAGGAGGCTATTCCTGCAGAAGGAGATTATGGGAGAAGAGGGGCAGGTGAAGAAACTCAGTTGGAGTAGCACTTCTCCC